GGGGGTGGGATGAGGTTAGTAGGTAGGAGATGGGGGTGGGGCTTGAGGTGGGAGGAGGGGATAGGTGGGAGGAAGAACAGGTTAGGGAGGCGGGGACGAGCTGGACTGGTTTTGGGATGCGGTAGGGGGAGGGGAGATTTTGAAGCTTGTGAAATCTCCTCCCACCTCAAGCCGCACCCCCATCTCCTACCTACTAACCTCATCCCACCCCCTTGACCTGTCCGTCCTCCCTGGACTGACCTATCCCCTCCCTAACTCCCCACCTACACTCACCTTTACTGGCTCACGGCCGCCTTTTCGACCTGTCTGTTTCCTCTCCACCTATCCTCTCCTCTATCCATCTTCATTCCGCCTCCCCTCTCTCCCTATTTATTTCAGAACCCCCTTCCCCTCCCCCATTTCTGACGAAGGATCTAGGCCCGAAACGTCAGCCTTTCTGCTCCTATGATGCTGCTTGGCCTGCTGTGTTCATCCAGCTCTGCACCTTGTTACATCCGGGTTTAGATGTTCAATGTACGGGACAGCTAGAGGGACAATGTACAACACAGAAACAGGCCTTTTGGCCCGTTTGGTCTATGCTGATATTTAAACTCCACATGTGGAGTCTCCTCACTTCCCATCTTCAACTCACCCTATTAGTAACTCCTTCTCCCTCATGTCTCTATCCAACTTGTCCTTAAATGTGTCAATACTATTTACCTCTGTGCGTAAAATTCCCAATTTGATTTATCAATCACTATCTGATATTTAAGGCCTAGTTTTGCACCCCCTCATATTAGAAACATCTCTTTATCCTAACTAACCTTTTCATAATCTTAAGACCCCTGTCTAGACATTACTCTACATTGTAAGGAGTTGAATATTAGAACAGCTTGACAGTTGTTTAGTAAGCTACCACTTTTCTCACACTCCTCCTGAACACAACTTCCTGTGCTATAAACTCTTCCTACTTGCTTTCCCTACATGCCACATTCAAGATCCATCACACCGACATTAGAATCTCAAACAGAAAACAAGACCATTTGGCCCAGTTGTGTCTGGCAGGTGTTTTAAAAGAAGGATGAGTAAATCAGACAATTAATCCCACATTCCCTCCTCTGGTTTGGCAGTCCTGAGATTTTCCCTTTTCAGATTTCTTTGTGTTTGTCCATGGATTATAGGTATCCCTGTGAAGGTCTTGAGAAGGTGTGTGCTTGTTCAATTACCTTTTGAAAGTTACTGTTGAATCCAATTCCTAAATCCTTTCAGGTAGTGCATTCTAGATCACAACAAATCACTGTATAAAATAATAGTTCTCCAATATACATCCAAACTTTTCCATTTTGGAACTCTCAGGGCTCTCAGCATCCTTCCCCTGCTCCCCCATTAACTTATAAAACCTCAACAAAAAGCCTAGGTGTTTGAATATCATCCCTCTCATACAGGGCTGTATCAGGCTGGGACTTTGTAAACACTGAGACACACTGACCCGCTCCTCTCTGTCTGTCTGCCCTCCACAATACAGGATAGCCTCGACCTGCTGCTGAACAAGCTGGAAGCAGCCAGACTCCAGTGGGAGAAGACAGCAACAAGTTTCCATTCTGAACAGAAGCAAAAACTGCTGGAATTTGGACTCAAACCTCTGGTGATTTAAGCCCTGGGGGACCGTGGATATTTGATTGGCGGCTCCCCAGGTGTAACTGTTTTCCTTTATTCTTTCAAAAGATGTGGTTACCACTGGTAAGGCCAGCATCTGTCGCCCATCTCAATGCCCTTGAAATGTGGGGTTTACAAAAGGGCATTTAAGAGTCAACCACTTTGCTGTGAGTCTGGAGTCACATGAACGCCGGAAGATCATTAATGAACCTAATGGGTTTTTACAATAATCAACCATGTTTATGTTGTCACTGAGACTAGTTTTCAATTCCAGATTCATTAATTCAGTTGGTGATGTTATCACTGTAGGTTGTCATAAATCCCATCTGGTTCACTCATGTCCTTTAGGGAAGGAAACTGCCATCCTTACCTGGTCTGGCCTACATGTGACTTCAGACCCACAGCGATGTGGCTGACTCTTGACTCCCCTCTGGGCAATTAGGGATGGGCAATAAATGCTGCCCTAGCCAGCGACACCCTCATCCCATGAATTAATAAAAATAAATAAAAAGTACCAGTTATGCTCCTGCCAAATGGGAAACAATTTAGAAGAGCTGTTGCATGCAATTTGTGTAGTCAGCCAGCACATTGAGAACACTGTAACATTCAAAGCACCCTCAGTGCCAAGGAGTCACAATGGTTTGTTCTGCCTGACAATAGGGGCTGGGATTGTGTTCAATCAGTCACTCAAGACATTTCTAGTGTCACTCAGAGCAGTACAAAGATTACAGGAAGCTAGAGCTGGAGACAGACAGGGACAGGAACAAGCTCCATGCAATGAAGCACTATTAAGCTGGACTGCTGTAGAGTTATCTAACAAAACTTTGTGTGTTGAGAACTCAGTGAAAAGTCAAGAGCAGTTGGGTATCTCTGTGCTGTTAGAACTCAGGAAGAAATTCTATGAGTTAGTAGACAGCTAAGTGTTGGATCCAAGGTGCCAGAAAAATCCTGGCAGGTGAGGGAAATTCCTGTGGCCTGTATGATTTCCAATAATCAGGAGAGCATCAGCCCAGGAACGCGGGTCACCAGAATGTGACAGCCAATGATTGAGTAGCTATTGAAGGAGTTAAAAAGTTAAGTCTTTGAATGAGAACTTGTAGAGTTTAATAAGATTAAAGTCACTAAAGTCTGGGGGATTGCTGAGGAATCAATGGGATGTATCTTGACCACATCTGCAATTTGACGTGCCCTGTGGGATGTAAGGCCACAGTTTGTCTATTACAGTTTGTCTGTTACATCAGATTAATTCTGGATGTTAGAATATAAGTTAATAGATATTGATACATATTTGTACATTGTATTCCTATTCTAATGTTGTAAAGTTTATTGTCGTTCAAAGCCAATGAAACCTGGGGCTTTATTCTCTTTGTAAGATCCTGGGGACTCACACTTTGTTTACTTTAATAATAGAAGTTACTGGTCCCAAACCAGATTTTAGCATGAATTTGGCCTTCTGGTCTGGGATCATAACACTGACACGCACCTACACAATCACGCACAACAATACACTTGATGACCCACACAAACATTCACAGTGATTCTCAAACCGGGCTGTAATGACTTTCTCAAGAGCTAGTGTGTTGATTGGGTGGTGCTGGCTGTGTCTTTGGTGCAAGCTGGGAGGTGAGAGTGACTGCTGGCTATTCAATGCAGAACCAGCCAGCTGCTATCTCACTGAAGACACCACTTTCTGCAAGTCTACACCAATTTTTAAAAAGCACGACATAAGCTCTTTATATGCAACAGTTTCATAAAATAGGTATTCTGTGGTTTAACTTAGATGGAGGTCTATGATTGTTGATCCATTTGAATCAAACCACTGCCTTAATAGGTACAAATACCTCAGAAATGACAGAAACACTGAAGGAATACTGTCCAAAAGATGCATTTTCGAAGTGACGTTAATACTCACTTGTTAGAAATATGGACTATTTCATGAATGTAATCTTTGTCATTTTGATATTTAGGCCAATGTGACAATGTCAGTCTTACTTACCTTCAGCAGCTGCTCTGGAAGTGGCTCAAATTGTGTGCAACGAGTGAGGAACTAGACAGAGAACAAATAGAATACTGCAAACCAGGAGTCAAACTGGCCAGACTCTGCTTCAGCTTTCAGTATATGTGCTTGCACATGCTTACCTGCATGTCTATGCGTGTTTGTGTTCTCAAGTGTGCCCGAAACCCTCCTCACTCTGTGTTCACCTCTTTGTGTCAGTTAGTGTGTCAGTGTACATCTATCTCTCTGGACACCCTCTCTATTCCTCTGAGTCTCTTTTCCTGTACCTGGTTCATGGACAGTTTTGTACATTGGTGCCTCTGTAATTCTTAGAAAAGCTCATTACAGTCTCAATAAGAATCAAATACAGGTGGAGGGAAGGACATTGATGAAGCAGCTGAAGATGGTTGGGCCTAGGACACTACCCTGAGGAACTCCTGCAGAGATGTCCTGGAGCTGAGATGACTGACCTCCAACAATCACGACCATCTTCCTATGTCCCAGGTATGACTCCAATCATTGGAGAGTTTGCCCCCGATACCCATTGATTCTAGTTTTGCTCGGGCTCCTTGATGCCACACTTGGTTGAATGCAGCCTTGATGTCAAGGGCTGTCACTCTCACCTCACCTCTGCAATTCAGCTCTTTGTCCATGTTTGAACTAAGGCTGTAATGACGTCAGGAGCTGAGTGGCCCTGGGTGTTACTGAGCAGGTGCTGCCTGATAGCACTGTTGATGATGCCTTCCATCACTTTACTGATGATCAAGAGTAAATGGATGGGAAAGTAAGTGGCTGGGTTGGATTTTGTCATGTTTTATGTGTACAGGACATAACTGGGCAATTTTCCACATTGCTGGGTAGATGCCAGTGTTGTAACTGTACTGGAACAGCTTGGCTAGGGGAGCAGCGAGTTCTGTAGCACAAGTAATCAGTGCTATTGCTGGAATTTATTAGGGCCCATAGCCTTTGCAGTATCCAGTCTCTCCAACCATTTCTTGATATCACGTGGAGTGAATATGTGATGCTGTCAGACCTGCTGAAGATTCTGGGAGAAGTCAGCTCAGGCACCATGACTGCTACTTATGAGTAGCAGCCTTACCTTGATCAGCGGCTGGGAATGGAACCAGAGAGGCTGGAGACAGTGACTGGAGCAGGTAACAACTCAAACATGGGGCCTTTTGGGCCTAGTTTTGATTAGCAACCTTATTTTGATCCATTGCATGGGGAGTATTGTGGGAGCTGAACTTTGTCACATCACAGGTGACGTTTTGGACAGAAGGGCTCCTCATTGGTGAGTAGTGGTGAGGGGCTGCTTTCTCCTTACCTTCAATTTCCATTAACCGTTTCATAACCATAAGGTTTTAAAGTAGTGGGATTTAGGCTAGTAGAGTAGTATCTGGACTATTGTTTACAGGATAGTGTGTTCAGTACCTTTAGTGAGAATCTAACACTTGGGACCATCTAAATTCACTGTGGATGAATTTAAAAGAAATTTGTTTTAATTAAATAGTAGCTAGATGCTAAAAATGGCAGTCAGCTGGGTAGTAAGGTTCTCCTTTGGAATGTGGGAGATCAGAGACAGTTCGAACGTCCCTAACAACCACATCTCCAGGAAGTGTGTCCAACTGCAGCTCCTGTCAGACCACATGGTACACAATTAGAAGCATGCAGAAGGTGTAAAACGTCATGACAGGAGTTATAGAGGAGTGGTGTAAAAAGTTGCAATAAAAATGGTGTTGCATGTTTTGAAAAGCATTATGGTGGACAAGTCCCCAGGACATGATGGGATCTATCCAGGAGGATATAGATATATCCAGCAGGATATAGATAGGCTGGAGACTTGGTAGAGAAATGGCAGATGGAATTTAATTTGGACAAATGCAAGGAGATGCATTTTGGAAGATCTAATGCAGGAGGGAAGTATACTGTAAATGGCAGAAACATTAGAAGCATCAACATACAGAGGGATCTAGGCGTACATGTCCACAGTTCCCCGAAAGAGGCAGCACAAGTGAATAACTGGGTAGAGGCATATCACATAGTTGCCTTCATCAGTCAGGGAACAGAATATAAAAAATGGCAGAGATAGCAAGAACTGCCGATGCTGGAGTCAGAGCTAACACAGTGTGGAGCTGGAGGATCACAGCAGGCCAGGCAGCATCAGAGGAGCAGGAAAGCCGATGTTTCGAGTCAGGACCCTTCATCAGATGGTTTTCCTGCTCCTCTGATGCTGCCTGGCCTGCTGTGTTCCTTCAGCTCCACACTGTATTATAAAAAATGGTAAGTTATGTTGCAGCTGTATAGAACTTTAGTTTGGTCACATTTGAAATATTGTTTACAGTTCTGGTCATCACTTCCAGAAGGATGTGGAGGCTTTGGAGAGGGTACAGAAAAGGATTACCAGGATATTGCCTGATCTGGAGAGTATTAGCTAATAGGAGAGTCTGGACAAAATTGGTTTGTTTTCACTTGAATGTCATTTGCTGAGAGGTGATCTGATAGAAGTTTACAAAAATATGAGAGGCATGATTAGTCAGAGTCTTTTTCCCAGGGTCAACGACTAGGGGACATTGGGTTAGGATAAAAGAGGGAAAAGATAAAGGAGATGTGAGAGGCAACTGTTTTACATATGGGTTAGTAAGTGCCTGAAATTGCAATGCCAGAGGAGCTAGTGGAGGTTGATACAATAGCAAAGTTTAAGAGGCATCTTGACAGATATACGAATGGGCAGGGTATAGAGCGATATGGTGAGTGTAGGGGATAATGGTTTTTAGTTTAGAAAGGTGACGTGTTGTCGCAGGCTTGAAGGGCTGAAGGGCCTGTTCCTGTGCTGTACTGTTCTTTGTTATCTAGTTAGAGACTGCAAAGTGATTACTGAATGCTTTAACAGGTATGGACAGTAACTGCAATGAATAACTAACAAAGTTTATTCAGATATTGTTGTAATTCCTTGCCCAGCACTACATTAAAAATAACTAAGTTTGAATTGGATAGAAGGTTATTCCCTGGGGAAGGGAACAGCTAAATAGGGGCCAGAGATAGGCAGAAAACCAATAGCATTCTGGATTATGCTGAATGGCTGTCTCTGTCTATTGAGGTTTTCACAACCAATTCTCCTCCTGAAACAAGTGAAAGTCCAGATGAACTGATGAGATTCTGATTTCAACCAACTGAATGATACATTATTCACAACCAGGATTCACACATGGTCTTGGTCTGTTACATAGACGGATTGCATCCCAGGACTCTCTGTTCCCTACATTAGGCAACCCCCCCACATACACAAAATATACTTTAATAATAACACTTGTAACAAGGAAATACAAAAAAAACTAACAGGACAGAATTTGAAAGAAAATTCAACTTGTCCCAATACAGCATGTTCCACTCTATACAACTGTTAATAGTCCTAAATATTACAAA